CAGAAATTAAACAAACTTCCCAGTGCATAAAAGCTGCTTTATTCCTGCAAAATCAAATATATTATCAACAATATTTACATATTGACTCAAAGCTCATTATTTTCACAAACTTTTCTAATCTCAATTTTCTCCAAAATGTACGTGTATTTTGCTCTAATTTTGGAAAGATGAAATATACGAATTTAAACTTCTTCGTCACATTTCTAAAATAAAAAAAAATGTTTTTTGTTCTGAATCAACGCACCCAGATCTGACTAGAGCTTTCCTCATTTCCCTTAATTAAATTTATTTTAAAATTGACACCCGAATACAATTGTTTTTACCGCTGTCAAATTATCTTCTGGTTAAGAACTAATCGCCACTCAGTGTTGGCGTTAAGTTAACCCCAACTAAATTGGCAGTTGGTCCTTAATCGGATATTGTGAAAGCGAATTTCATGCTACCTTTCGATTAAGTTATGATTAAGTGCTTAACCGGCGTTGGTGAAAACAGCCGTAACAAAACAACATGCCAATTATATACATACATATGTACCTATATAATGGAGCTAAGGCCCAGTGAGTGCAAGATGCAATGAATTCATAGCCCAGGTCAGCCACCATCCATTTTTGTTTACAAAAAATTCCATTTGTTGCAATTCAATGAAATAATTCAGAAATCGAAATTTTTTCTTAAGGAAGACAATATGGGAAATCAGCCATTTTTAAGGCGGAAAGGTATCGAAGTTCTATTTGACATATTTAATAATAATAATCAAAAATTTTCGCTTTTTTTAAATTAATGATTGGTGAAATGGAAACATTTTGTAAATTAGTTAAATTCCTTCCACCTGCACAAAATCTATAATACAAATGCATAAAATATACGATAATGTACTTATGATTTTGTTGTTTGGAAATCTTCACCCATTTATCATTTAGCACTGACCTAGTTTTGAATTTCATTGCAATATTTTCATTTACATACATATAGTACATGCATACAGTGTTTGGCAAAATATTAGCAATGTGTCCATTCGGAAAATATACATGACTCCGCTGCATCTGCGTTGATAATAGCAGCAAAAAATCATCCGAAGTGAAATGCAAAAAAAGCGTGTTTTAGCTAAAACCATAAACCAAAATCTGGACGAAGACAACTAAAAAAATTTTAATTTGATTTTGGCCATTTTTTTATTACAATTTGCTAAAATAATATTTTTTTAAATTGCTGAGATTCTAAAAAAAAATCATTCGGCCAATCACTCGCGAATCATATCTCGAAAGCCTCTAAAAAAAGTTCTCTGAGAGTGGTTTGCGTGTAATATGTAAAGCGCCTACCTTTCTTTTATTCGGATCATTTTACTATAGTAAATTAAGGATTATTAACTGTTTTCCTCGTAGAGGTGTCGAAAAATTATTATTTTTTTTTTAGCGATAGAGAAAAGAAATGACAGCTGTTTCAGAGATCACCACATCTCCTCATCAGGTTTTTTATTGCAGGGCTCGAACCGGCATATCCTGACTTAACACCCGGAACAACTGGTTTTGATTAAGTTGGGTTATACATGCCTAATCTATTATAAAGCCCTACATAGACTAACGCGATTATGGGACATGGCCTTTGTGAATAATAGTTTCCAAAATGCAGAGTAACAACCTACAGTTCCTGAAACTAATTGTCTTGCAATTAGGTAATAAAAGAAGAATTCAAGCGCACTTGAGACCTTTTGGCCCGATGTGATCCCTATGTCTCGCTAAGCAGATTCGTTTCGTCTTTCCAAATGCTCAAACTACTTAGTGGGTTTTATGAAATTTAGGAGATTAGTGACAACATCCGATGCAAGTTCCGTAAGACAATCACAGATGAAATTTCCGAGACACGATGACCCACGGAGAGCTGTGTAGTGCCAAAAGTAGTCTTTCCACTAATTCCATCTCATTCCTTCCCTGTAACTGCGGCAGAAGTCCAGTGAGAAATAATCAATTCTCCTGCTATCGGTTTCCATAAGTTATGACGCCGGTTGTTATGCTCATGGAGGTCCAGTTGACAAGTTGTAGTAGAGACTTAGCTTTATTTACCTCGATTCATTGCCACATTTGTCTTGCCACATTGAACGTGGTTTCACTCTGCCATCTGCTGTTTGCACTTCTGGCGAAAGCTAGTTTAGCTAAGACTGTCTCTTTCTAGTTAGTTCGTCGGCTACGTAGTTCCCCGGGATGTACCAAAAACCAGGGACCCAAGCCATAGACGTTTCGCATACAGTCGGGAGTTTACAAAAGATCTTTCTGCATTTTATTGCCACCTTTAAGCTGGTTTCGCTTGGAAAACACAACTGTGGTCGGGGAAGTCTTTTACATAATTGTATAGTAATAGATTGAGAGTAAACTCCACAAGCTATTTTACCATCTACTTTGGAGCTCTCGGCGAAGATGGCTACGGGTCTATGATTCAGAGCTGCTGTAGTTTCCATTTCCTTCCTTTCTGGAATTTTTGTTGAGAAAGTTCCTACTATAAGTATCAGACTGACTGTATTTTTCGAACTGACACTAGTAGCATAAGATGGACAGAGTGAATCAGCGCTGTCAACTCTAATGGAAGGGTATGACTCAGCAACTGCAAGAAGGTTGTCCTTTCTTTAGCGACCGCTTCCAGTTAGAAGCACCTGGAGAGATGAGTGGGTCTCCTAGCAGAATAATGATGCCAAAGGTATTTGAGAAAACTGCAAAAAGTGATTAATGATCAATACAATTGATCTGTTGGTGTGAACTGGCTGCTGTCTAATTTTAATTCGATCATAAATTTGAGGAATGTTATTAAAATTTCTCAACAAGCTGTGCAGTACTTCTCAATGATCTTGGTTCTTAAGCTATTTGTGAAAAATAAAAAAAAAATTTCGTCAACTTTTATAGCACGTTTTTTTTTTTCAAAATTTAAATTGAAATACCAAAGAATTTGTAGTCAACCACTCAATGAAAAATGTGTGCCGTCGCCATTTTGCTCGCCACTGCCATTATTTCGCCCACCACTGCTCACACAAATGTACATTAGAATGGAAAAAAGCAAACAAAAAACATAAAGCAAAGTTTAACAGCTGACAAGCAATCGTGAATGACGTTTGATTTCGCTCTTGAATTTATTTATGCTCTTTTTTGCAACGTTTTCGCTACGCCTTTGCACTGCCGTTGCACTTACATTACTTTTGTATGTATGTATATACGAGTATGCTGATATATACAAATAAGTACGACTTGTTCAGTAGAGTGATAGCGACACGTTCGTCATAACGTCAATGAGGCAATTAGTGGGCAATTGAAATGAAAGTGCACACACGAGAACATGAAATGATGAAGGCAAACGATCTACTTAAACCCCATAGTAAAATTACAGCAGTCTAAATGAGGTCCAATTATAGTTTCACACTACCCAGTGTGGATGTAGCGATGCTGACCTTTATGCCTGCACCGTGATTCGTTTTGTTATTGCTACTGCTGTCAATACCTGGCCGGCGGCTTCTACTGCCATACCATGTAGCTCATATTGTACAGAAATACTTTCAATGATACCTAAAGCTGATACATTGTTTATCGGTTCGAGGAGGACTCAAAGTTAAATCTAACGCAAACCTCCAGTACTTGTTCATCTCTCAATGAGAGGTATTCGCCGAAAGCTAGCTGATAGAGTAGGTTATTTACAATGGATTCGATGGGTTTTATAGTAATGGTTGTCAAACAGTGATGGAGGTTGGATAGAGAATAGTGGAAAGCGAGACTCACATCGAATTAATTAACTTGAAAGCAGGGAAGCAGTAGACGTTGCGGCCGAATGCATATATACCGGGTTATAAGCCAGAAAATGGCATTAAGAAGAGATTCGTTAATCCGTCTTGCTAGCCGATCCGTAAAAGAAATACAAAAGTCGCTAAAAACTATGTATTTCCGAAAGAACCGGAGCCGAATCAGAGTGAGATGAACTGCGCAATAGCAGCAAGGAAATAACCCTTATTTTGCTTACACTGTAACGGAAGAACTGCAGCAAAGCTGTTGCTCTAATGACGGTCCACAACCCACTAGCGTTCCACGCAAGCAGAATGGGCCTTAGTAGCCGTAACACATGTAAGAAGTTCATAAGGACAGGCTTTAATGAAACGTTGGAACACCCCCTCTCTTTCTATTGATTTTTGCTAGAACTCTAGCCTCAGATATCTCGAAGATTTGGAGCTCAAAGGACTAGTGTATTCATCAAAACTGGATATTAAGACTCTCTTGAACTTTGTGAAAGGCGACGAATACTTTAGATCGCTATAAAAAGGATCACCATCTAGCTTCATAATAGACCGAGGGATTTACGCATCAGCCGACCAGTGTATTCTGACTTAAACCATGTAAGCTCTTATGTGAGATAAAACAATCAAGTTTAACAGGCAAATTTGATTCAAACTCAATGTCAATTCAGAAGATTTTCTGTCGAGAATTTAAAATGACTTCATATCGAAATACGAAATTCGGATGTAAGGATTTTAGGCGCTCTCTCCTATTCCCCTGCTTTAAATTATTTTCTTAGTTAATTCGGGAGCAGATTCATACTGTGATCACTGAGGGTGACAAAGCTGGCGAGTTTACCAGAATATTTAACCAAACAGGTTATTGGGTTTTCACGTTCGAAACATGACGGCTTCCTAGGCAGGCACTAAACAATCGGTAGACTTCTGTTAAGGCTTTGTCTTCGTCTGAAGTTTGTTATTGCCCATATATATATATATTATATATCTAATAGTTTAATAAAATTATGTGTATGCATGTATGTATATAACTTATGATTTGCCAAGAGCAAAAAATGTTTTGGAGTTTAGCTAAAATGCACGAGATAAGATAGTGTCGGCAGGTATACTACATACATAGATGATTATGTGTAGGTGAATATTATATATATGTATTTGCTCTGTTTAATTTATGCATCGACAAAAACGACTGAAATATCAACATTCAAAACCAAATATTTGTGTTTATTTTTACTTTCAGATTTTCCTAAACAAAACAAGACTAACTGATAACCAACCAAAAAATAAAATCAACTCTGGTATCGATGAAGATGGGTTCACCAGCTGTCAAACAACACAAACGCGCAAGCAAATCGTCGAGCTCTTCGCGGGTCAGCATGACCACATCGCAGGCGGAGGAGAATTTCGTCGAATCCAAGCTCTTCAGCTGGATGAGACTATTCCGATTCGCATCACTGCTCTGCCGTGCGGAATAATTTAGCAAGCAGAATGGAAGCGGAAATAAATGAGCCATATGGCGGCGAGCCCATCGGGCGACTAGCAGAAGTGCAGGGGGCAATTAATTATAATAAATAATAAACAACAAAAAAAAATGTAGTAGTCATACAAAAAGGCAATTAGTTTATAGACTTAGAGTATGTGATAACATACACACATACATATATTCAAAATATTCAATTTCAAATGAAGTACTAAACAAAAATCAGTAAAGAATAATGCAAAATAAAATCAATTAAAATAAAAAAAATATAAAACAAAATTAAAAAATAAATAATAAAATAAAATGAAAAATAAAATAAAATAACATAAAATGAAATTAAATAAAATACAATAAACTAATATGAAACAAAATAAAACAAAATGAAATGAAATAAAATAAAATAAAAAAAAAAATAAATTCAAATAAAATAAAAAAAGACATAGCGCAAAAAAATTTAAAACAAATTAAAAAATTAGATAAAAATAAATAAAATTAATTAAAACAAAATGAAATAAATTGAAATAATATAAAATAAAATAAAATAAAATAAAATAAAATAAAATAAAATAAAATAAAATGAAATTATAATAAATTAAATAATTTTAAATATATAAAAGAAAATAAAAAAATATAAAAATAATAATTTCATAAAATTAAATAAAACTTAAATAAAACAAAACAAAACAAAATAAAATATTATACAATAAATTTAAATTAAATAATATATGATAAAGTAAAAATATTTAATTTATCTAAAAATAATAATCAACAAATAGTCTCAAAGTCCATTGAATTATCACAAAAGAAAAAATGTAGTAGACAGTTTAACTTAAAAACATCGTAGTTACAAAAATATATATGCCTAAAGAAGTTAATGCAATTGGTCAAACAATAAAATATTTATTAGTAAAAGCAAATTAAATGGAAATACGTACATACATATTTACATATTTTATTAAAATTAGTAGTATATACGTATATATGCTAGCGCTTCTCTGTACCTTAATTGTTGAACACTTTTTGTTAAAAAAACAACAACACATCCAATGTTCATGAAATTTTTTTAAACCATTTGTTGAATACAATCTAGCATTTAAAGAAAATTTATTAGTTTGTAGTCAGAATTTGAAAAAAAAATAAAATAAATAAATAAAATTGAACCAAAAGTTAACTTAAACAATTTTAAAATTATTAAAAAATAATGTAATTGCTGTCCCGTTTGAGTAACGTTTTGCTGGGCGAAAGCAAATGCAACCCTACAACTCTGGGAACTACTACAGGAAGTTCTATTTCGCATAAACCGAAGTATTCATTTAACTAAACGAATGATTCTTTAATTATTTAATTATTAAGTTATTAATCAAGGCTTACTAGTCCACAACATAGTTTATATAAAAACAATAAAACTCATTTCATTTCCATTTAAACAAAATTTTCAACAAAGCAATAGAATTAACAAAAGTAACACAAAAGCATTTAGTCCAAAGTTGCCATTTAAAAAACAAAAAATAAAAAAAAAACAAAAACAAAAGAAAACAATGTGTAAAAAAATGAACTAACCTCAAAATATGAACCAAAAATGCAATATTACAGAGCACAAAAATGAAGCGAGTACTGAAATGCAGGCATAATTATATTAACCAAAATGTGCAACGTCGAAGGCGAAATGTACATACATATGTACACTCACATATATACATATATAAATGCAAGTGTGTACATTAAAACCAGTCATGAAAGGGAAGAGGGAAAAATATGTTAATTATCTTTGCAATTGCAATTTGTGAGATTTTGCCGAAAAATGTTTAGCTTTTAATTGCATTCTAGCTTATGTATGTAAGTGAAGGAGTCTACCAAATTGACCTGGATTATGGAAAGTGGATTTTAAGAAATACATAAAAAAAAAAAATAAATAAATACGTAAAAACAAAAATTGGCTTCAAAAAGCGTTTAATTTTCGATGGAAGTTATCCTGGAAATAATAAAGAAATGCATTAAAATTAAATAAAAATAGATAAAATATACATACATACATATGTATGATTGTTTTGTCTCAAAACCGGGTGGTGGGAATTGTATAATTTTAAAACCGTTAACAGTGTGTACTAGCATTCGGAGAGCTGGCTTCGGGTCCGGGTCGGACCAAAGTAATTGAAATGAATATTTCCTATTGCGGTCGTTCCTCGTTAAGTAATGTCAAGCCCTCCGGGTGTACTTCTGATAGAAAATAAAAGCCCCTCATAAAAATCAACTGGTGGTTCGGAGACGGGACAATCGATTTTCACAGGCTTGTCTTCTTATTCTCATATTCTTCACCTCCCTGTTGGCCAAAGCTGTACGGCTCTGAATGTTTGTTTAATTCAGATGGTAGAATTGCTGACAGCACAAATCGGAATTAAGAGTTTGACTGTAGAGGCGAAAGTCATAACGGAAGATTCCTTGCCAATCGCACCAAACACCCAACTAAACCTTCCTGGGCGTCAATCATGGCTTGGAGATTATTTGTGCCGGCTCATTACCCTTCGACCACGACCGTTTTCTTTTCACATTGCTATAAGTGGTCCACTTTTCATCACCAGTCACCATCGGCCTCAGAAATGGGTAAATTTGTTTTTGCATCCAGCCTTTTTCAAGTTGTTCCAAACTGTTGTTTGGGCAATGCTTAGCTCGTGGACAATCAAAGCAGTGCTCGTATGACAATCAAACTAGACGATTCCAAATTATTCCATCAGCATTTTCGACATTAAGTCTTTTACGCCGTGGAACATTTTCTACTTCAAAATCATCGAAACGAAATCGATAAGACCAACATTGTAAATAAATGATTAACTGTTACAGTGTCAGAACCGTAAGCGCTATACACAGTTGGCGCTGACTTGAGCTTTCGCTACAGACATCTCTAATCACGATAAATTCTGGTCGCGATGTGGCCTTATCTCTTTCTTAGGCAAAGCACCTGCTACTTTGGAAAGACCGGTCCACAAGGTGAGAGGCACCTATTTTCACAAATCCATTATAGGTATCACAATGAGCCAGCAGCAGCGAGGCTTGAACAGTGTTTCATTATCGAGCAACTTCAACAACTAACTGATCCAAGATACATCGGTATATTTGGAAAAAAAGTTCTATGGATAGATTATGTACACAGTGCAGAACAAGGATTTAATGACTGACGCTTTTCACATGGCGTAACACGGGATCTTGTACCTAATTTTAAAATTTTAAACGATTACTGCGAAACCCAATGTACCTCAAGCTATCTGGTGTTCAATAAAATTGTTGGTATTCAGCTTCCGATGAGCCATTGCAAAAAGTGACTCGATGAGTGAGTTGGTTGGGCGACTTGATCTCCAGTGCAGAATTTTTAATGTAAAATTCACTGGTATTACGGACACTGTTAAGGATGCCTCCAAATCTATGGTCATAAGCAGAAGATGATATAAACTTAACTCTTGATCGTTAGAAATGAAATTCATTCGTGTAAACTAAAATAAATGAGAACGCCTGATTTACAAGCAATTGCTATAAATGATTTAGTACTTTAGCCTAGACAAAAGCCAAAGGCACGTAATATTGCTGCTGTCAGATGTCGCTAAGCACTGAGATCGTTATATGTATATAACCGCTCTTTAAGACTTTCGTCTTTGGAAGAACGTAAACTGTAGACTTGCGCTCTTAATAAAATTTGTGTAGAATGAAGTGTGGTTTTTGTCTGGGGAGAAATTATTTATACCCGGCAGCTTTAAGTGCTGGCTATATAAATTTTTCACACTTAGAGGTTATTGAGTGCATGAAAGAATAATTTATTTAAAACAAGCTGGTTTTATTGTTTGAGGATTCTTTTACTGATGAAAATCCCAAATTATAATTTTTAACTCAGTTATATAATTAAACTAGTTAAGAGTGACAATAATTAAATTCGTCCAATAACTTTGCTAAATAATTTAATAAAAAATTGCTTCTTATATACTTACGAAACTGAACTGAATAACTTTTCACTGCAAAACTTCCCAAATTTATGTCGGCTATGATAAACGTCATTTGATACATAATTCATTATATTACAAAGTATGTTGCTCCTACAATGAAGAGGACTTGACTAAGGCCCAAACTCACGTCTCAGGAAAATCTTGGTTCAACAATAATTCATCAATTGGAATATAAGCTCATTGCGGGAATAAAGACCTTGACCACCATATGGAAAGGAATCTATATTTTGATGTCACTTATCAATCTTAAATTTAAGTCTAGAGGGTTTATTGTTTAAATTGGAGCTCACTTATAAGCTGAACTTGCCTTTAATTGGAACGGAACACCTCACATCGGTCGTTTAGCCCAACGTCAGAGAACGTAAATATAACGAGAAGGTTTAATTGCGGACCAGCGTGTAAACTGTTAAAAGCTGCCAAGTTACAATGGATGCATTTCACCACAGGCCGCCAGAAACTAACAGAGTTTGCTTTTGATGCATAACATTACTGAGCGTGGCAAAATTAAATATGCTCAGAAATGTACTGATCTGTCTGCAACTAACATTGTTTATGTTAACTTCAGATAACGAAGTTTTTGTAGGCTTCTTATCAAAATAAATGAAATTATTATTTTCAAATTATTAATATATTTTTTGAAATGGGGGTGAAAGCACAAATTTCAATAATGTATTTTACATCTTTTTCGAAATTTTGTATTATCTAATAGTAAATGTTTTTTCCTTATAAAGGAATGATTTGCCGTCGGCATTTCGCAATAGCGTTTTTTATAAAAAATAATTTATTCAAGAATTGTAATTTTAACGTATTATTGAGTTGTTTGATTTTGTTAACTTATAAATATAAAATACATGCGTGCATATGTACATATGTATATACCATACAAAATACTGTCCTGCCTCAAGAAATATGTATATCCATGCATTGCATTTACGTTCTGTGCTGAAACAACAGTCAACTTAGCGGCCGACTCCAGCCAAGTTAGTTCTTCCTTACTTCTCTTTAGCATTTCTTTGTACAGCTAGTATAGACACAAATATACTCAGATTGCTTGCCTTAAGATGTCGCATATATAGGAACGTATAAAATCGTATACGATTAACTGCAGTCTTCATACGTTCTCAGAGTCTCTATTAAAATAGCAAAGAACTTATATTAACGTATATAATGTATATTATATAAACGTATTAATATACGTTCTTTGAAAATAGATTCAGGTACATTGGTTCTCGTCGCGGGTAGAAAAAAAAAATCAACTCTAGTCGAGAACTTATAATAAAATTTACAAATTTCCTTTGCAGGAGCCAATGGTTGCGTTCAGTGAACTGAGCGCTCAGTAAACATGTTTAGTGAGCAGACACTGAACGCAATGATTATTTAGCGCTCTCAGTGAGCGCTCACCATATT